ATATATATATATATGATTTCCATAACTCTGGAAGGGGTCTGAGGCTATGGAAGTCTTAACTAGGCAGTGGGCTGTGGATAGAAGCCAACGCTGCCAGGGGGGTGTGAACGTGCTTGTCGGTCTTTAAGTAATATTGTTTAACTGTCCCATTTGGAGCCAACCAGAAGTTACCAACCATTAAAATTAAGAGTCTAAAAAAAGAAAGAAAGAAGAAAGAAAGAAAGAAAGAAAGAAAGAAAGAAAGAAAGAAAGAAAGAAAGAAAGAAACTGCTTTATAATGATGGCTGTATATTTCTATAATTTTATTACAAATAATTGAATTACTTGATATTATAATATACCTCAATAGAGATGTAAAAAAGTTAATTTTTAAAAGCTTGAAAGCTTTTGTGTTAAATAAATACTCTGTTCATGAAATCAAATCCACAAATTCAAATTCCTAGCAACGGCTGAAATTTTTAATCTCTATTTTCATTTCTTTCATCTAATATATAGTGATGTATGAATCTCTACTCAAGACCAAATAGGAGAAGATGTAGACCTTTGTCCTCCAAAAGTTTAGAATCTAAAGAGGTACAATTGAAAAATGAACATACCAGCAAGGTCTCTGGTACTAATGCAAAGACAGCTATTGAGAGAAAAACAAGGAGAACAGGATTTAAACAGGGTCTTCAAGTATGAGCAGAAAGATAATAAGCAGTTATGAGAGTTTAAGAATCCTCTCCTGCTCTTTGCCACATCTCCAGCAAGAATGAAGACCATTCTTAGCAATCAGACTGTCGACATTCCAGAAAATGTCAACATCACTCTGAAAGGACGCACAATTATTGTGAAGGGCCCCAGAGGAGCCCTGCAGAGGGACTTCAACCACATCAATGTGGAACTCAGTCTCCTTGGGAAGAAAAAGAAGAGGCTCCGGGTTGACAAAGGGTGGGGAAACAGAAAGGAGTTGGCAATTGTCCGCACAGTCTGTAGCCATGTACAGAACACGATCAAGGGGGTCGCACTGGGCTTCCGTTACAAGACGAGGTCTGTCTGTGCTCACTTCCCCATCAACGTCATTATTCAGGAGAATGGGTCTTTTGTCAAAATCCGGAATTTCTTGGGTGAAAAATACATTCGCCAAGTTCGTGTGAGGGCAGGTGTTGCTTGCTCAGTATCTCAAGCCCAGAAAGGTAAGTTAATCTTTGAAGGAAATGACACTGAGCTTGTTTCAAATTCAGCTGCTTTGATTCAGCAAGCCACAACAGTCAAAAACAAGGATATCAGAAAGTTTTTGGATGGTGTCTATGTTTCTGAAAAGGGAACAGTTCAGCAGCCGGATGAGTAAGATCCAGGAGTTACCCAGCCACAGAAACAAGCTTCTGGATGGTGAGGCCAATCTGTGATATTTTAATGAGACAATAAAAGATCTTTATTGAAAAAACCTGAACCCCCTCCTGCCGCCCCTTTCCTCACCTCTCTCTCTCTCTCTCTCTCTCTCTCACGTGTCACTATTATATGGGATACTGGACAAGAAAATGTAAAAGCATCAGTGCAAAGCTTCAGTTATTCTAGAAAAACAACACAGGGATGTCATGACAGCTGAATGTCTGGTACAGTAGGTCCTCAGGATATGTGAATGAATAGAAATGGAGGGTGGACCTAGCAATATTTTTAACAGATTGTGTATTTTCAAAGAAAGAGCACACCACATGCATGCGCACACACACACAGAACACATGTGTGTACACACACATACACACACCACACGTGTATACACACACAGCATCTCTAGGGTCATATCTTTCAGAAGAAGACAGAGTCAGTGCAGATGTAAATAATATTTCTTATGTAATGTATTAATTCTTGTAATTGTCCTACTAACCTGTTTTGAAACTGTCTTCTTGCTACTTCTTTCTCAATAAACTTAATTTTAAAACATGCATAGTATTTCTGCCTTTTGTTAGAATTCCAATACCTCCAAGACTTCACACTTCACTCCTGTCAGTGCTCCTTTGCCTAGGTATTTTTAATACCCAATTTAGTCCATGAACCCCAACCAAAAATCCACTTCCTTCTGAGTCCATTGTGTTCTGTATGTGCGAGGGCAAAACATTACCAGTGTTACACCCATCTCCCTAGAACTTTTACACAATGCTTTTTCTTCTGATTTACCATAAGCTCCTAAAGGTAAGAACCTTCCTATAGAGTGAGACTACAAAGTGCCATATTTTTCTATGAATAGGATGAAATGGCTAATAAGTTCTCTTCGAATTAAACTAGAAATGGGTAGATGGGTAGATGTGAATGGTTGAACAAATGAAAAAAAATCAAAGAATCATTGCATCCTTAGTGACAATCTAAAGCTTTCTCTGTATGTTCTACCCATATTATAGAACAAGAAGCAGGCACAGACATTAGCGTTCGAGGAGTCCCAGATAGATTTTGGGTCTACTAAAGCGTGTCATCTGAGACAACTTCAGCAACTGAAGAAGAAGCTGCTGGCCCTTCAGCAAGAATTGGAGTTCCGCACCGATGAGTTGCAAACCTCCTACTGTTCTCTCCTGCAGTATCAGTCCATCCTGGAGAAGCAAACATCCGACCTGGTTCTCCTGCACCATCACTGCAAGCTGAAAGAAGATGAGGTATCACTATGCCAACTGTAGAAGTGTCCTACATGCCCGAGGACCTATAGGAAACAGGCCGGTGGCCCAGCCCTAAGAGAAAGTAAATGCTAGGCTTAATGAGGACAGCTTTATGACATCTTGAGCAGGCTTTATAAATTCTCCCTCTTTGATTCTTGATCTTTCTGAAGCTGAGCAGAAAAAAAAAAAAAAAAAAAAAACTAAACCTAATGCCACACTTGGGTTAGCTCTCCAGTGTTAATGCACGCGGGACATGTAAGCTGCACACGCCTGTGAACACACAAGTCCATCCTGTCTATTCTGTCACCACTGCCATTGGAATGCAGAAGACTCTGGGTCCCTGAGGATTTTTTAAAAAAGGGATAAGGTCCATTAAATCAACTATTTTTTAGACATATCAGGCCTTGATGACATATAAATTCCTGGAACCTGCATGGTTGATAAGAAAACCTGACACTGAATCTAAATCAGTCATTGAGAGCGCCAGATCATTTTTTTCAGACTGGAAGTTTAGATCCTGTAGACTTAGCTTAAGTATATTCTGGGCCTTCATTTATATTCATGTTCCAGGGAAGTATTTTTTAAACCACAGTAGGATCCCCGTAGAATCCCAAGTAAATTTCAAATATTCAAAGCTACGGAACTAAAGCCAGTTGAGCATTAACAACAGTAAGACCACGGCTCTGAATAATGCTGCCAGCAGACTACTAACTGGGGCTGCCCTTGAGATTTTCTTTCTTCAGATTTAAGGAAAATTCCAAGGAATGCTTTAGACAGTGTTGTTCTGTAGAAACCAACTGCAGGGATTTTATGAGGGGCCTTAGAAAACAGAAATTTTAAAAAGGAAATATTATAACCAAAGGAGAATTTGATAGAAAGCATTGGGAGGGAGAGGAACAAAGAATGGTTATCCTACAAAATAGATTCTAGGACAAAGTCTAGGAGTATAAACCACAGTTTAATAACTAATATTCCGGTATGTTCAAACTGGCTGGTTTGCTACAACTTAAACAAAAGAGTGCAGCCTAAATAAAGCAAGCCTAAGCATATGGAGATAGCATATACTTGCAAAAACCAGAAAATAAATAATAGTTTACTTCTATGTCATGTAGAAGGAGATCAGAGACAGGGGGTTATTACTGTAATGGCAATTGCATGTGTCACCTCAGCTCAGGACTTCCATGCTCTAGATCACCAGGGGTGGCTACTGGAACTCCAGCCATCACATAATATAGACGAAGACGGAGGCGGGAATAAAAGCACACCCTTTCATTTCAAGAACACTTTCCAACACCCCCACAGTACACTCATGTCATTGGCCAGAATTAGCCACGTGGCTACACTTGGTTCCTAGGAGGTGTAGTGCTTCAGGAGATTTATTGCCTCTCCCAACAGAGACAAGGTTCTACTGAGAGGGGCAGGGAATAAATATGCGATCCAGCAAGCAGCCATCACTGTCACAGATTTTGAACAGAGAAAGCTTTAGAAATTTTATTTTAGGCCTTCTTTCAGGTTCCTCCATTGCTTTGTTACACAGAAGAATCAAAGTTTTACCTAAGGCTGGGTTCTGTCAACAGCAGAGCCCACCGTGGTGGAGCACCTAAGACACACATGTTGCAGCAGGCTGTCATCACGGAAAGCTCTAAAATGGTCACGATCACTGGTAAGACAACCTTGTAAGTCCGAGGAAGAGTTAATTCCAGAGGCAATTCCAGGAAGCACACAAGGAAGTGAGTCAAAGAAGGGCAGGAAGTCTATGGATCAGAACCAACTGCAGTTTGATCCTTCTGGAGAGCTCTGGAAGATACCAGAACATGCCTCAGAGTGAACCCAGCCACCCACTCCAGTCATTGCCTAAGAGGTGCTCCTAGAGATGTGAGCTCCTAAGCTCTTCTAACCTCCCCTCCCTCACCCTCTGCATGCGTGGGCTCCTGGGCCAAAGAAGTGCTCAGGCAGAGTCAAAAATGGTTGCCATTGGATAGGTTTAATGTGGAAAGACATAGTGTCAAGGGGATGTGGGTAGGCCACTGACAACTTCTATTATAAACATTTGAATATAAAACAGGCCTCACCCCTCTTCTTACCTAATAAACATTTTAAACTATTTGATCCTTTTATAAGAAGAATCTCAACTATTAGACAACAAGTATAATTAGCTCAAATGAACGGGACATGTTCTTTCAGAACTGGTCTATTTGAACCAGGATGAAGCCTTCTTCAAGGAATCTCTGCTTAACCCCTTGAACATGAATAATTTGAGTCATATAATTTAGTGCGCTCGGTTATATTGTGCAGGTTGGTATTTTTTTAATTTTTTAAAGAGCACAAAATAGTATTAAAGCAGAAAAATTGCAAATAATACAGAATTTCACTAAATAAAATAATATGAACTTCACAGTATTTGTTGTATTGCATAGTGCTGTCTTCGAATTAGTTGTTCCTATTACCAGATATACGCATGCAAAATTGGAAAAAGAAAGAAAAAACTATATAAGAAAGTAAGAAGAGAGAAAAAAGAAAAAGAATCCCAAAAAAGGCAAAATAAATTAAGGATTAACTGCTCATAAATTTTAAATCTTATCTCTGGAAGATTTTGAGTTTCAAACTCTCTGAGTGGTACCCTATGTCTCATATGTATGGGTCCCCTCTGCATCCAATACAACGTTCAGGAGCTTTCAATAAATATCTGTTGGGCTGGGGCAATAGCTCAGTGGTCTAAGTGCCTGTCTGGCAAGTGCAAGGACCCAGGTTTGATTCCTGGTACTGCATGCCCTGCCAACCTGAGAGCTCTGGGTGCACTGTGCCAGCCACTGAAACTGGGCATGGTGGCACACACACCTGTAATCCCAGCGCTGAGAAGGCTAAGATCACTATGATTCTGAAATGCACTGTGTAGTGAGTCCCTGAATAGAAAAAATAAAAAATAAAAATAAATATCTGTCAATGAGATGAGTAATTGATTAGAAAAGAACAAAGTCTAAGTAAGGATTATGCAAATCTCACAGGGGCTTTGGATCATGTGCCCCAATATCTCTTGGGAATGTTACTAATGTGGACCTGTGTGCGTGAGTGCTCGACATTTTCCAAATTACATCTCTAGACACTGCTTAAGAAAGAAAAAATGCTGGCATTTCAAGCCCTTAAAAATATGGAGCAAAACAAATCCATTCCTATTAATCAATAAGTATTTATTGAGCTCCTATCACATTCTGGACAGAATGGGTGATAGACATGGTCCCTGCTTTTAAGTAGCTTCCCTCCAAAGAAATCAATCTCTTTAATGTCTGGTCATTTACATCCTGATATCATATGTTGAAGCCTTTAGGGCTGTGCTGCATGAAGTCCGCTCATCTGGGTTGCTAGTTTTGATGAAGGACTGCTCTGTGTGGGGTCTTATAACCACATTGTTTCTCATAAGCTGTTTCCAAGGGTTCAATGTGGTTTTATTCTTCCACTAACAGGTGATTCTCTATGAAGAGGAAATGGGAAACCATCCTGAGAACACAGGAGAGAAGCTCCATTTGGCGCAGGAGCAGCTTGCCTTGGCAGGGGACAAGATTGTCTCTCTAGAAAGAAGCTTAAACCTCTACAGGGATAAATACCAGACTTCCCTGAGCAACATCGAGCTCCTGGAGTGCCAAGTGAAGATGCTAGAGGGGGAGCTCAGCGGGCTCATCAGTCAGGTGAGACTTAAGCCAGACCTCGCAGGCCAGCAGCGCTGGCCAGCCAACCGGCGCCTGGGTGGCTCACTCTTGGGTCCCTGCCTCCTCCTCCAGGCACCCTCCAGCCAGATACCACTTCCTGCCCTTGAAATTTCTAGGCATTCGCTCCTGCATGGCTGACTTTTGCATCTCCTTTACGAGTACCCCTTAGAAATTTTGAAGCTATTTAATGGGTACAAAGTGCTTCCATTTCTATTAAGACCGCAGGACTACTGAGAGAAGGCCCCAGTCTTGCGTGTTCTTGTGGAGATGGGCACTGAGCTCTTGCAGGTCACAGGGCATTTGCAGACTACAGCTCTAGGATCAAGCAGGAGAAAGTCATGAGGCTTTCCCCTTCCACAGGATAGAGGAACCGAAAGAACAGGATTTTCTTCTTTTCTTTCAATTGCTTTTCAATTTGACACAGATAATGTAATAATATTGACTCCCCAGACACAAGCATGGAGAGAAAGTGTGAAAGTCCACCTTCAGGTGCTCTTGCCTCGTCTCTGTGTGCTGGGAATCTTCCCAGGGCTGCTTCTATGCAGTTACATGTTTAAAGGACAGAGTTCTGTCTTTACGTGGAGATATTATGTAAACATTTAAAATAATGTTTTAAGACTGGTCTTAAAATGCATATCTTAATTTCTTTTTGTCACTGCCTTGTTGTAGAGTATGGATGTACCATCTGTTGACCTTTTGCCCTCTGTTAAAAAACTGTACCAAGAATCCTTATTTCTAGAGGTTAATTCCTGAAGTGAGATTGCTTCATCAAAGGGTGGTCTTGTTTTCAATGTTTAAAGCTACTTCTGAATTGTATAGAGCTAAAACGTTGCTGCCAGTTTACATTTTTACTAACATATATAATGAAGATCATTTCTCCCTATGACATGTTTCACTCTTTTTAAGTTGTGCTAAATTGATGGGTAAAGGGGGAAGGATGCTTTCTCATGACACCTGTCATTTTCTTTAGCTCTAATGACTGCCAGTATGGTTCCCTGGAAAGAACATTCCAATACGGGCTGGCATGCAGGTCATTTTTAGGGAGGGACCTGAGTATTACACCTGTGAAGGGAAGGAGAAGGAGGGGTGGCTGGGCTGTAAGAGCAACAAGCTGAGCTCTGATACAGTCTCACAGAGACCTCAGCCCATCCCATGGCAAGACAAGGGGCTGGAGGCAACTTCAGAGCTATCCTACGTTAAGGGGAAAGGACCTAGCCTTTGCACCCCCTGCTGATCCATTCTTGGACAGGGGCCACCCCTAGTGAGAGATGTGACTGTGGGCAAAGCAGTCTTCTTCTGCCCAGGCAGTCCCTGCCCAGGACCCGTGGCTGACAGCTGCACTGGTGGTGGCTTGGGCAGCAAGTCTTGGATGGCCAAAGGGGGCCTGGGGTGCATCACAGTCTCTGCCACACAGAAAAGAGCACAGGCGCTGTTCGTTTTGGCCATGTGGAGTTTTATTTTACAATTTGCTTGTTTTAATCCTGACCCCATTTTTTTAAACTGGGTTAATATTTTCTATATTGATTTATTGGACTTTCTTAATCTATTACGGGTAATCATCCTTCTTTACATATACCCCCAGTCCGTAAATTTTCATTTTACTTTACTAATATTTTTCACCATGCAGAATTTTTTTCCTTTTTATGGAGTTGAATCTGTCAGTTCTTCTTTATAGATCTAGGCTTTATGTCTTGCTTAGGAAGAACTCTGTTCCCGAGGTGATAAAAGTTTATCTTACATGTTCGTTTAGTGCTTTATAATTCTGCACCTTTTATGTTTTTATCTTTAATCCATCCAGAATATATTTTTAATATTTATATAATGAGATAAGGCTTTAACTTTGTGTTTATCTCAATGGATCTCCAGTGGTCCCCAGACCATGAACATTTTGGCTTTTCCCCACAGACCCAAGTGCCAACTCGTAATACTGATTCCTCTGTAAGCATAGCTCTTTCCAGACTCTATTCTTTTGATCTGCTTTCTAAGGTCACTTATTGACATCTGTTTCTTTGTATCTCAAACACCTTTTTTTTTTTTTTTTCCCGGAGCCGGAGATTGAACTCAGGCCCCTGTACTTGCCAAGCAAGCGCTTATTCAACTGAGCTATCTCCCCAGCCTCTGATCTACTTTCTAGTTCTGGCTTCAGTGTCAGAGTTTCCCAGTGACTTTATAACTGATAACATGTTTTATAGGTCCACTTTTCTGTATTTCAAATTTTTCTTTGCCCTGTTTGAACATCTCTTCTTGATGAAATTTAGATTCACGTTGACAACTTTTTCACTATATATTACTTTGGGGGACATTAGCATACCCTATGGAACATGACATACTTGTACTTTTATTCAGATTTTCTTAGGTGCCCTTCATGTCTAGATATATTACAGTTGTATTTTATTATGAGTACGAACTTTCATACATTTAATTTTAAGAACTATTACTGATGTACCAGAAAACTTCTCTCTTCCTCTGCCACCTTACTGTGCTTTCTCAATGGATTTTCAGTTGAACATCTCAGATTTTTCTAAATTGCTTTCACTTTTGTAATTTGTACCTTTTATTTTCTAACATATTGCATTAACTGGAACCTGCAGAGCATCATGGAACATAATATCATTGTCTTACTCTTCAATCTAAAGGAAATGTTTTCAATATCTTGCCATTAAGTATAGTGCCTGGTTTTGGCTGGTTTTTCTTCTTTCTTTCTTTCGTTTTCTTGAGACAGAGTCTTGCCATGTAGTCCAGAATGGCCTTGAACTCACTATGTAGCCCAAGCTGGTCTTGGACTCTTAGCAATACCCATGCCTCAGCCTCCCAAGAGCTGGGACTACAGGCATGTGCCACCATGCCTGGCCCTGTTTCCTGGCTTTTTTAATACTGTTTTTCAATTTAAGGTATTATTTTATCTAGCTTATTAGAATTTTATATTAAAGATGAATTTTAATTCAAGAATTTTAAAAATTTTAATCAAGATTTTATATCAAAAATGAGTTGTATTTTATCAGATGTTTTTAAGGCACCTATCCTTTAATGAGGTAGATTACATTTGAACATGATATATTACTTTAATAAGCTTTCTTTTTATTAAATTTGTAAAAATTTATTTTTGTTTCTATTTTCAGAAATGAAATTATTTGATGGTTTATGCTTTTGTGTTTTCATCCTGTAGTAATGCATGAATTACAGCATCTTAATTGAGTTGGAAAGCTTTGCATTTTTTTAAACCTCTGAAACTGTCCATATAACATAAAAAGTGTCTATTCCTTTAAAACTACAAATAACCCAACTATAACTCACTTTTTCTGCATTCCTGTAGTTTTCCTTTCGCTGTAATAGTTTCTTCTTAATTCTTTCCAAAACAACTGTGGGTGGCCAAGTGTCTCAATATTTTTATGTCTGAACAAAGTTCATTTTGACATCATTCTCAAATGCTAGCTTGGCTGAACATACAAACTTTCAAAAGCATCTTTCCTCGTGCTTTTACCGTGCTGCACTGCTCTACAGCCTTATACTATCCAGGACTAAAGATCAGTTATCAGATGTCAATCTGTTTCTCATTTTCTGTAGGTCTCCTGTTTTATCTCTTTAAGCTCTGGAGTAAGTTTTTAGGCTAAGGATGTTTTTAGTTTATTTTTCATTAAACCTCTCAACACAACTGACTTTTAATATAAAGATCTACATTTTTTTTCCAATTCAGGGAATGTTTCTCCTATTACTCTTAAATCAATTTCCTTTTTCTCATTCCATAATATTAAGGAAATATTAGAATCCACAGATATCTTCCTCCTCTCTCTTAACTTTCATGTTATATTTTCAATTCCTTTGCCCTCTTCTACACTGAATTATTTACATACACATCCTTTATGGTCAAGTTTAGATTTGTGACTGACCTTTCTGCAGCACGGGCAGGTTTCATGCTCAGTGAACTTGAATTATTTCTAACTTGGCCTGAAAAGGCACAGGAGGGAAAGAAGTTTGAGGAGGACGAGATCCAACATCCAAACTAGAACACGTGGCTCTTTTTACACTCTGCGCATCAATTCACCCCATATTAGAGCAGACCAAGAGAGTGTGGTAACCTTCATGCATGATTTCAGATGATCTAAGGAAAGATATTTTTTACACAAAAACAAAAAGCCTAGTTCTTAGAAATGACTCATACTCAGATTCATGAGAGTATCAAGTATTAAAATTTCTTAGGACAATTATACAATATCAATCAAGTTTAAATATGAATTAGTATTCCTATTTCTATGAATTTAAGCTACCCTTTTACCACTGCATTGAAGGTACATTTACCAAAGTAGGTTCTCAATGATTGCTGTGCAAAAGTATTTGTTTCAGCTTCATCTTAGGGGGAAAAAACTAAAAGCAAACTATGTTACTATCATTAAGAAGCTATATTTCTTAATGAGAATAAGAAATGATAAAAATATCATTATGAAAATATGATAAATATATTTGAAAGTACTTTAAAAGTATAATACAGAAGTACTTGTACTAATATGGATAAATCTTTAACACAGATTAAGTAAAATCCATTGTTATGTTTTAAAAACCCAACACAATCCATATTTTATAGATTCAGCTACAGTATGTGATTAGAAAGTTCTAGAAAGACATGTGCAACCTGACATCTCTGGATCAATGGAAAAGGGTACGAAATCTAAAGTCATGCCAAGGAGAAATGCAGACTTGCCTAAAATGTTACATGTTTTGAAACAACAGTACAGACATTATTGCTCATGTAATTGGAAATTTTAAGAGTAAAATAGACCTATAAGTAACAATGGGGGAAAAAGAAAGAAAGAAACAAGGCACTGGTGGCACATGTCTGTAATCCTTGGCAAGGCTGAGACAGGAGGATCACTATGAGTCTGAGCTGCAGAGCAAGACCTTCTATTAAATAAATAAAAGAAAAAAATTAAAAAAAAAAACAGTGGGAAGAACATCATAAGTAATAAGTGCCTGTCTGGCAAGAGCAAGGTCCTGAGCTCAATCCCTGGTACCGCAAAAAGAAAAAAAAAAAAGAAGAAGAACATCATAAGTAAATTGTCACATGAAAACAGTGTTTTGAAGAGTGTTGTAAGAAATAAGTTTATGCAAAGAAAACAAATAGGGTTATATAAGTATGCATACATGCATATACAAATATGCCTAGAATATCCTTGGAAAGATACCAAAATAACTGGTAACATAGACTGTCCGGAGGAGGAGACCTGAGTCTTGTAGGTTGTTGTATTCTCTTATGAACGATTAGGATATTTTACTCTGGATCTACAGTAGTGATTTTTTTTTCTTTTAAGGAAACCATACGTGCCATATAGGAACATATATTGTTAATACATTGCTATAGAGATTTTCTAAGCATTCAGGGTCTGATGAGATAGCTCAGTGGGATAAGTGCTCGCCTGGCAGGCTCAAGGTCCTTAGTTCAATCCTGGGGGGGGGGGGAGAGAGAGGAGAGAGAGAGAAGAGAGAGATTTTCTAAGGATATGGAATTCTGAAGTCCTGTCACAAATTGCAAATGGAACCCAGCCTGTTATTCCTAAACCTCCTAGGAGCCAGAGAACAAGGGTGATCACCCAAAGGTGCGGATATACACTTCTTCCTGCATGATTCAAGAGCATCAGGAGACCCTGAAACGACTATCTGAAGTCTGGCAAAAGGTCTCTGAACAGGATGACCTAATCCAGGAGCTTCGAAATAAACTAGCCTGCAGTAACGCATTGGTAAGTGCTGCCTTTCTGAGAGGCCCACAATAAAGCCCTCAGGAAAGAAAGATGGGAAAGAGGGGTGGCCAGACTGCTCAGGGAATTAAAGCGCCTGTTTAGGCAGACACAGGAGTCAGAGGTGCTCCGGGGGCATGTTGGGAAGGCGGCTGAGACTGGTTGTGGTGGCATAATCCCAGTGCTTGGGAGGCTGAAAAACAGGAAGATCATTACTAGTCTACTCTGTGTAGTGAGACCCTGTAGACCCTGTACTAAATGCATAAATAGATAAATAAATCTCACTGAGCTATCCTTAATGCTACATAGCAGAGGTTTACTTGGGGGCCAGGGAGCTAGCTCAGTAGAATAAGCACTTATCTGGCAAGCACAAGTTCCTGAGTCGAATCCCCGGAACTGCAAAAAAGAAACAACGGAAAGAAAGAAAGAAAGAAAGAAAGAAAGAAAGAA